AGTCGAAAGGCATTCCGCCTTAATTTTTGCAATTTGTGTTTTTAATTGCGTTAGACATACTACACACGTAGGCACCCACTAGTTTCTTAATGCTGAAAACCGGAAGGTGCTCTGAAGTATACGTTTTGCTGCACCTTCCAGTATCTACGTCGTGGTCAAAAGGCGCGCAGCACGTGGGATGTAGCTTCCTCTGAAATAAAGATGTCTTTGCGCGCACCCTGTAGACAGCACCATAAAAAGCATCTTCAATCGCCCTATTTCGGAGACGCCTCGGTCGTTACTGGCCACGTTGCGTAGCCTGAGGTTAAGGTGATTACACCTGCTACTCTTTTAAAATGATGTTTCAACAGCTGCCACCAAATTTCGCACACTCTACCTGAAACTCGGTAATAGATTCTGGCCAAAGGCTTGCCTAAAATGAAGTCAAGGGCTATGGAAATCATCACAAATGCGACAGAAACGGATTGCTACAACAAAAAGATGCTGACCGATGAGATACTGACCAAGAACTGTGAGGATCGGAATGTATGCATTAGTGAACACTTGACAGAAACGAATGTCTCCTCCACTCCTCAAATGTGCGCACGCTTCCCATCATAAGGCTACATTATAATTGCAGAATTCGATGTAACAGGCGAGTTGTCTGCCCAATGAAGAGAACAGTACCAAATAATTATTTAGAGATGCGTCGATTAATTTGGACAAGGAAGTTGGGTAGGGGATATCTTCTTAACTTGTGGAACGTTGCCTGTGGATTTGACTCCCTCCACCTCATCCTCGAGGATGCTCCATCTGTGTTGTTTTGCAGTAAAACCAAGGCTGTTAATGGTGTATGCACCCATTCACTTTCCCTCACGGTGATACTAGTCTCTGGACAAGGAATCACAATGTCGTTGATTTTTACTGATTAAATGCACACGTGATGATTGCAAGAAGGAATTATCAAATGACTAAAAATTGGGTATTGTTGTGACCTTTAGAGAAAAATTTCCACTCTCCCACTGTTGAGCAAGAGGGAGAATTTAAATCTGACGGCTGTAAATGTGGTTACAATTATCTTTAATTTGCATGCAGTGTAAGTGAGCAATGTTGCCGTGCCAATCGTTTGCAAAAAATCGCTTTTCTGAAAAATAATAATGCACATACCTTAGTCGAAATAGGTAGGAATAATATGGTCCAATGTAAACGCGAACGTATTTTAACAGGGTGATGCGTATTAAATTTGTCAAATAGTTGGCTCCCCATACCGGAGCCAAAGTAATCTATTCCTGGTACCGCCATTAACAACTACCATAGGACCTTATTGCACATCCAGTGTAAAGTTCTCCTAAGGTTCTTGATTTTTAACGCTGTAGTAAGGAGTCGGAACATCAAAAAAGGGGTTTAAGAAATAATGCGTCTAGCAAATTTAAAAAATGAAGTGGGAGGTAATTTTTGTGCCATTAGCGTGGAAGTCGATCCATGGGCATTGAAATCATGCTGTAATTCCACATAATTCCACGAGTCCAATGATAAGTGCATCCTTAGCGTCCCCAGTAGAGATGGCAGACACCAGTGCTTGCTACAAAAAAGATT